ACACAGTAGGTATTTAATAAATGCATCTTCTCTTCCCATGCACTCTGTGGTGCAGTCCTGCTCTTCTGTTCTTCATATGAGAAAATCTATCTCCTGTCTTCGGGTCTGGCATCTTCTCCCTCCTTACCTCTTCCTTTTGGGTTCTCTGTTTACCTTCAAGATTCAGCTCACGTACTAGCTTCTACCAGAAACCTTTGCTGATTCCCCCCAATGGTAGTGTTGTCCCTCACAAAATACCCTATATTTTTTGTTTATATATTCTGTAAATATACAGAACGGCATAGACTTGGAGAAAGGAAATCCTTAGCACAATACCTGATACTTAGTAGGTGATTAATAAATGAATGTTAATTGATTGGTCTCATTAACATTATGCTCATGAAAAATGGGCACAATGTAAATGTCTGGAAGCTGTGGTCCCATGAGAAACCATATCTAGAGGCAAAAAAAACCCCAGTAAAATGTGACTTTGTAAAGGAAGAGGGGAAATTCCTGGGTGGTCAGGAAATGATCAGATTGCTCCCTGAGCTGATAAAGCAGCTGCCTTATCGGTGAGCCCAGGCAGCCAGATGAAGGAGCCAATTTAAGCTTCTTGGCCAAGGCTGAGTCCAGAATCACTAACTTGGATAGAGAAGGGTAAGGTGGACAGAGGTCTGCAAACAGGCATCAAGGCCACTTTTCAGGCTTCCTAAGGGAATAAAATTCCTCAATGGGGGATCCTAAAATGGTTCTTATCTCAGAAAATTAAAGTGAAAGGAATATTTAGTCATTTGCTTGAGCTGGAAATTTTCCTCTTGAAAGGAGAAAGTTATTGTTGGAAAAATTTTAGAACTTAAGTGGATCATTAGGGTACTTAATATTATTATGGTGGGTGGAAACCATTTCTATTGGTTGGTGATTTTGCTCCTTTATCTTAGTTGCCCTGTGAGAAATACCAATAGTCAGCCCACCACAAACTGAATTATTTCAGGCACCACAGAGATCTAGGAGAAGGGTGGCCTTATTTAAGCAGATAGGCAAGCAAGTATAAGGGAAAACAAATAATCTATCAGGATAATAATACCACCACCACCACCAATAATAATAATAATAATAACTAACACATAGTGCTTATTATGTGCCAGGAACTGTGCTAAATGCTTTTCAATTATCTCATTTGATCCTCACAACAACCCTAGGAAGTAGGTGCTAATATCATCTCCACTTTACAGATGAGGAAACTGAGGCAAACAGAGGATAATAATGACTTGAAATAATAATAATAATAGCTCACTGTTATATGACACTGGAGGGTTTGCAAAGCACTTTATAGACAGTATCTCATTTGGTCTTTACAAGAAGAGATAGAAAAAGTGAGTTTCAGAGAAGTTAAATAATTCTCCTGGGGCATAATCTAGTACAGACTTCTAAGGTAGGTTTCAAATTCAGGTCTTCTTGGCTCCAAGTCCAACTATACTCCATTCTCTAAAGTTTCTCTTAGAATATATGAGCCCCTTTTCCCAATGATAATAACTAATATTTGTGGCACTTTAAGGTTTACAAAGTACTTTACATATATAAACTTCCCTGATTCTTAAAATGACCCCATGAGGTAGGTGCTCTTATCATCCACATTTTACAGATGAAGAAACTGAGGCTCAGAAACTTGCGTGTAACTAATATATAACATAATAGTAACTATGTGAGTCAGGATTTGAATTCAGGTCTTCCTAACTCCAGGTCCACAATTCTATTTTGCTACCAAACTGCTTCAGTTCAGAATTAGGTATATCTAATTCGGGGGTGAGGGAAAAGAGAAGGAAGTAGTAGCATCAGTTGGAAGAAATTTAATTCACTATGGATTAGCAAACCAAGTAGAGGGGAAAGTCTGAATAACTAAGGAAGATATGAAGGATGGGATAAGGTCATAGGGTCATGGGACTTAAAACTGAAGGGGACCTCAAAGCTCTTATTTCTCAGGTGATCTTCAGGGAGAGATAGAAATATAGATATACCATAAGTCTTTGACTTCCTCTTCCAGCACGTCTCCAAAGTTCACAGGCCATTTTGAGGTCAAATATTCATATCAGCCATGTTGAATATGCAATAACAACCAGATAGATATAGATATGTTTATTTAGATATATACAGATATGTGTATATATATATATATAATGTACATATATGTGTATATGTGTGTATATACACACAAACCATATATATTTAGTTTATTGGAGGGTGATAATAGAACAACTTTTAGGAGCTTGCCCTCTTTTCTTGCCCCATTCATTTAGGACTCTTGGATCTCCCCATGTCTCAGTATGGATGGCAAAAGCAATGATTAGACACTACGGTTAACTAGTAGACACCTCATAGCAACAATAGGGCTTTATTTTTGTTAAAATAACCATTAATTACGTAATTTTGTTAAAATTACAATCATCAACTACCATCGTCTTTTTTTGGATATACAATGTCAGCTTTTCATTTAAGATAGTGAACAAAGCTAGAAGTGATTAGAATATTTCTTTTTCACCTCCAACATATTAAATACATAAGAAATCATTGATTCTTACTTTGGATATTGGTTTAATTGTGTTTGAGACAAAAATGTTTATAGTCAAATGTTTGTGAACAGAAAAAGATCAGTAATCTGTCTGCTGACCCTAACAGAAGTTTGCCAAACAACTTAATTTCTGGTCAGGTTCGTTTGGAAACTATCTCCTGGAATGTTGTTCTGCCACTTAATTGGCAAACCAGTCTCTCGTCAATAAAGCATTGAGTTAGTTTACCAAGATTTTATCCAGAAATTTAAAAATAGCCTTTTGCAACTTCATCATCAACATCTGTTTCAGTTTTCATGCTATTCCCTTGAGGAACAAAGTTTCCAAATGTTTACCCTTTTCAGTCATTTAAATTGAAGGATGAAACTTTAAATTTAATTTTTTAAGCATACTTTCATGTACATATTCATGTAGATATAAGTATATTATATGTGCAGTGTTTAATAATATGTATATACTTTTCCCAATCTAATAAAATATAAAGTACCTGAATTAATCTTTCCCGCTTAATTATACATCACTTTCCTTTATGTAGTCATCAGTCCAGCCAAACTAGCCTTCTGCTTGTTCCGTACATGTAATATTTGATCTCCAATTTCTGTGCCTTTGCATAGACTGTGTCCCATGCCTGGAATACATTTCCTCTTCATCTCATCCTTTTAGAATCTCTGCTTTCCTTTAAAGCTTATCTCAGGTGCCACCTCCTACATGAGGCCTTTCTTGATCCTCCTAAATGCTAGTGCTTCCTCCCCCTTCCATTACCGTGTACATATATGTATATGTATATGTACATGTATACATACATACACATACACAGGTCAGCAGCTCTCTCTTCCACTTTGTCTGCTGTCCTAAACTAGCTTTCAAGCTGTCAGGTTCAATCTGAAGCAAACTTTCTGTCTTCTTAGAATAAATCTCTCTTCTCTCTCTCCCTCCCCCTCCCTCCTTCTCTTTCTCTCTACCTCTCTCCTCTCTCTCTCTCTTTCTGCCTCTGCTCTGTTTCTCTTTCTGTCTGTTTCTCTCTTCCTCTTTCTATGTTTCCTCTCTTTCTCTCTCTCTGTCTCTTTCTCTCTTTTTGTCTCCCTCTGTCTCCTTTCTGTCTCCCCTGTCTCTGTTTCTCCCCTCTGTCTCTTTCTCTCTTTTTGTCTCTTCCTCTGTCTCTGTGTCTCTGCCCCTGTCTTTCTGTGTCTCTATCTCTCTCTCTCTTTCTCTCTCCTCCCAGCCCCGCATTGGCTGGCTCTTACTGCTCTTTAGGGCTCTAGATTCCTGCCATTCTCTGAAAGGCTTTTAGGACTTATCTCATCAGCTGCCCACTTCTCTGCTTCTGTAGCCTCCTCCTGCCTGCACCACACCCATCTCCCCTGTCTCCCCATTTGCTTCTGCTTTCCCAACTCTCAAGTCTCTACTCTCTCAGTTCTCCCATCTGCTTCCAGCATATCCTTTTTCCCCTCAAAGGTGGGAGGGGGAGGTGAGTTGGATTGTGGGGGGGTCAAGATCAGCTTATCTTTCCTGTAGCAACATCATCTTCCTGATGTCTTTGGTCCTCTTCAAGAACAAAGGACAAACAACAACAATACTTCTTCCTAAGCCTCTACAGTCAATGTCTCCTGTGAGCTTGGTTGAAAGATCTGCTATGTATACATGATATAATCCCCAGAGGCTGGAAGCTCTTTGAGGATGGGGACTGTTTGATTTATTTTCTTGTATCTCCAGCACCTACCACAGTGCCCAGAACTTGGTAAGCATGTAAGGAATGCCTGCTGAGTAGTCGATTTTCATTGGATTTTCCAAAGGGAAAGAAAATTATTCCCAGGCAACAAGAAAGTATAAAAAGCCAGGAGAATTTCACATGCACAAAAAGGTTGGCAAACTTAAACACTGGGTTGATGTATGTGATATTTGTAGTACTGGGTATCCATGTCCCTATTGCTCCAAAAATATATATATGTATATATATATGTGTGTGTGTGTGTATGTAGATATGTATATATGCATGCATACCTCTACATACACATATGTTCATAATATAAATCATACACATATGTATATATGCACATATATTCATATACACATATGTGCATGTATATTTTCATATGACCTCTACCACTAATTTTTTGTATTACTTTGGCCAAGTTATTGTACTTTTCTGGGCCTCAGTTGCTCTGCCTATAAGGTAGGAGGTTGGACTAGATCTCTAAAGTTTTTCCAAGTTAAGGTACTTGGTGATTGCATGTTAAAAAAAGAAAGCCAATTAAGCATGAATATGATTTCTCCCAATAATTTTTATTCAATTTAAATGTCCCACAGGAAGAGAGTAAGGTAATTCTTCAAAAAGGCTGTTTGTTGAATGTGTCCTCTAAAGGATCTTTTGCTCATTATAATATGAATAATGAAATAATGAATAATCAACAGCAAACATAATGTTTTTAAGGGAATTTTTCTTCTTAATATATACAGATATCAAAGCAGGACTACGTAGGTTCTCGCTTAGAGACAAGATTCGTGTGAATGGAAAGAAAGACTGACTGAGGACCTTTATAGGAAGTGAAGACCTGAATGGAAAGTCATTAGTGCAAATGGCATTAATGAAGTACTCTTTCAGATGGCTTAAACAGTTTGTAATGGGTCCTTGGTAAGTGTCATGGCTGTGCCCATCTGTTTTTATATACTGCCTTCTCTGAGACCTGGGCATTATATAGACAACTGTTACTTGCATGCTTTCTGCTTTTGTAAAAATGAATCCTATAAATTTAAGGTAACCTAATGCCTACTTTATTCGCACTGTGGTGGAAGGCTTTTTATCATTTAATTCCTGAGCAGACCTTTTTTTTCCCTTTTAAATATTAATTAAAAAGCAGTGTTGTCATCAGTTAAAATATAACATAACTCAGTAGACAAAGAAAGCAATAATAACATTAATAACATTAACACCTGCCATATATACATACATGCATACACATATATAAAGGACTACATATAGTGTATATTTATATATGCATATATGTGTATATTTATATATGCATATGTGTGTATATATGCATATATATAATCCTTTAAGCTTTTCAAATGTTTTATATGTGTTAAAATTGGAGTTTAAATTGCAACTCTGCCTGTAATTCCCTCTGACTACAGAATAATTTGTATATCTCCTCAATGCTGCATTTCCCTCATAGCTAAAGTAGTTGAGACAATGCATTTCATTGTGCTGGTGTGAGGCTGAACCTGACAAATCAAATCCAAAACCTTTAGTCAATAACAGAATATATTATGAAAGTTAAATCATTACAAAAATTATGAAAATTAGGTAAATCACCCAATTTTGCTGGAGAAGAGGCGTAAGGGATTTCCTTTGAAAAACTGAGAAAACCAAACTTATAAAGGACTTCACATGTCATTAAGTTGGACTCTTTGACCAGTATATAAATCTTCTTCACAAGATGCACAAAAGGCTGTCCAGCTTTTTTTTTTTTTAACACTGGTGGAACTCATTGCTTCATCAATCAGTCAATCAACAAGTATTCATTAAGTACCTACTACATGCCAGATTCTGTGCTAGTTGCTGGAGTATACACAGACAAAGAATTAGCCCAAAGGCATTATGAATTAGTTCATTTTAATGCTGGACAGAGTTATTTGTGAGAATATTCTGCAGTAGGTAACACAGTGGACAGATTGCTGGGATGGAATCGACCTGAATTCAGATCCAGTCTCAGATACTTACTAGCTGTGTGATCCTGGGGAAGTCACTTAACTTCTGTTTGCCTCAGTTTCCTCAACTATCAGCATCTGCCTCTCAGGTTTGTTGTGAGGATCAAATGAAATAATACATGTGAAGCACTTAGTATAGTGTCTGGGACATAGACAACTCCCCCACCCCCACCTATTATATTTACTTAAAATTTGCCCCTTAGTAACTAGGTTCCACTAGTCCTTATTCATGCCTCTGGAGCTATGCAGAATGAGTCCAGATTAGAATCTTACTTATTTGTACTAATTACAGAAAAAGACTGAAGAAAAGTCCACATTATTGGTTATTTTTATGGGGAATTAGAATTTCACTACTTTCAATTACATACTGCAATAGGAACTGGCTATTTAGAAGCATTTTGGTTTAATAAAAGTGACATTTGACTGATGAGAAGATATGTTTCTAACTCTGCCTCTGCTAGCTGTGACTTGGGCAAATCATTTCCTCTCAGAGACCTTACTTTTTCATCAGTAAAATGGGGATAAGTGCCCTACCATCTCACAGGGTTCTTGCAAGAATAGAAGGAGACAATGAATATGAAAACTAACTGCTATACAAAAGTGTACTCATCCACTAGTTAGCCATGGCTGAGAGTAAACTGAGTAGTAACTTACAAATCTGTGTTCCAAGTTTACTTTCTTAAATATTGAAACATCACCCTCTCTCCACACACCTCCTGTGTTTGTGCTTTGATTTGCTGGTGGATAGAGGCCAATGCCAACTTAGTTCTTTTGGGAATTTTCATATATTCCAAATTAGCCAGGTATGAAATTGCAAGATTTTATTATAGGATAAAGAGCTCCCTATATAGAATGCATTTAAATAAAAACAAACCATTGACAGCAAATTACGGTCCTCTACTAGACCCCTAGTTTTTCAACATATGTCTTAGATTCTCCTTTGCCTTCATATATTTAAATTGAGCTTATCAGCAACTCAGGGATATTGCATTAAGAGTGGGCAAAGAATATTCACTTAAGACAAAAGTCTTTGGAAGAAAGAGAGAAAAAATGAATGGGCAAAAAAAAGGGGGGAGGGATCCTTGAATAAGTCACTTAAGGCGCCATGGTAGAGCTTTGGTCATATAATCAGATAGCATGGTTTCAAATCCCAATGATGCCATTTACTATGTTGGCATCTTTGGGCAAACTCTGAACCTTTCTTGTCTCATTTGTGAAATAAAGGGGTCAGATTAGATGATTTCTCAGGTCCCTTTCAATTCTGTCTATGATCATATAAGTCTGTACCTTGCTTTCTTCATATCTAAAATAGGAATAATACTTAGACTACCTACCTCCAAGGCTGTTGGGTTTTTTTTTTTTGGTAGGTTGTTTTTTGGTGAGGTAATTGAAGTTAAGGGACTTGCCCAGAGTTACACAGCTAGTGAGTATTATGTGTCTGAGACCAGATTTGAACTCAGGTCCTCCTGACTCCAGGGCCGGTGCTCTATCCCACTGTGCCACCTAGCTGCCTCCCCTCACAGGTTTTTGTGAGATGAAATGAGATTATGGGAGTGAAAATATTTTGTTAACCATAAAACATAGATAAATGTATGCTATTTTGAAATCATTTTTATTGTTTTATTGATCTTATTTATTTTATGTCACCTTTATTTTCAATATATCTCTTGCTCCCCACTCCTACCCAGTGAGCTATCCCTTGTAAAAAAAAGGGGGGGGTGGAATTAAAAAGAGAAAGAAAAAAAAACAGCCCAGCAAAAGCAATCAAAACATCACATAACTGATGGTGTACGGAAAATTTGGTGGGTGGTACCCACCTCTGTCAACAGGAAAAGGGGCAGTTTTCCCTCCACTTAAGCATTCAGATTCTCTTTTTTTTTTTCTTTCTGTTTACTCAATCATTATATACATTTTGTTTTCCTGGTTCTACTTATTTCACTCTGTGTCAGTTCATATAAGTCTTCCCATGCTTCTTAGAAATCTCCAGTCATCTTTTCTTGTGTCACAGTAATATTTTATAACAACCAATGCATAAAATTCTGCTTTTTTCATATCAATCTTCTATTCAAAACTTAGAATAATTCCCTGTTGTCTAATAAATCAAGTCTCATCTCCCACTCCTTGAACTTTCAGGTCATGTTCTTTCACTATGCTTTTTTTCCCCCTTGCCTGGAATGTCATCACCTAGCTTTCAAAACCTAGCCTATGCTACCCTCAACCCACCCCTCTGCTTCTGCCTGAAGCTTTCACTGGCTACATCAGCCCTCACTGTTGACTCTACATTCCAGCAGTACTTAAGGGTCTGACCCATATAATTTAGCACTTAGATATGTTGTGTTCCATTTCCCCCCAGTTGTTTTATGTTTGTCTAGTTTTCCAAACACAATCATAAGCTCATTGAGGATAGGGACCATATCCTTTACTTTATATGGTCTACAGCACCTAGCAAAATGCTAAACCCAGAGCAGAAGCAGAAGAGGTCATTGAAAACAGGAAAGAAGATGGAGGTAGTGAGTGGCAGAGCACCAGCTCTGAGAGTTTGTGTCTTCTTGTACTGCTAGTGACAATGAATCTATAGGGATGAGGAGAGGCTCCTGTAAATTCACCATCATTATTCTTTTCTATTTTGTTTTGCATCAGAGCGAACAATTTAAACTAAACTGGCTTTTTCTTTTTATCAGGTCGCTTGTAATTGTTCTCTTTTCTATACAACAAGTTTATGGGGTAAGTACATTGATTAGAAATTATTCTCAGGCTTTTGATTCTATGCATACATTTTTGTGAATTTTACAAAGCAATAAAGAAACCAAACAAAATAGAAGTTTACTCCCCCCACTCCTTTCTTCTCTTTCTAGTATGATGTAGTGGGAAACACTTTTAACTTGGAGTTAGGAGACCTTGGTCCTATTCCCAATCTGCCACCAAATGTTATATGATTTTGAGGAATTTACTTAATCTTACTATACTTGTGTTTCCTCACCTGTAAAATGGGGATGGCAATACCTACCCAATCCATCTCATATAATAATTCTGAGAGGCAATTTGATTTAATGTCAAGAGAGCGCTGAACTGAGTTCTAGCTACAATGTTGTTACTAACTAGCTGTGTGACCTTGGACATGTCATTCCTGAGCATCAGTTTTTTCATCTGTAAAATGAGTGTTCAACCAGATGAACTCTTTGAATTGGACCTAATAGAATAAGAATGAAGATAACAGATGTAAGAGCACTTTTAAATTTCTAAATCGATATGCATACTTACTGTGCTATAATTTCCTCCACTTTTCTCTTTACTCCATTTGCTCCCATGCTAAACTTTTTTCCTTTTCCTCTCCTGTCTCATGAATCAAGTTCATTTCAAGGACTTGCAACTCCCCCCATACTCCCACCCTACCCTTACAACCAGTGACTGTAACTCTCTAACCAAAATTTCCTTTATCCTATTCCCTCTTATATTGTCACAGAAAATGTTGATATCTAAAGATGTCACAAATGAGAAGGGAGAAACATTGTACAAAAGTCAGATTTTAAGAAATATATATATATATACACACACACACATATACACACACATACATATATACATACACATATACATACATATATACATACACACATACACATATATGGAAGAAATTAGTAACCTTGGGAATTGAACAAAGGAGAAAGGCCTAGAATTACTTTTACCTGAACCTCCAATACAACAAAGGTAGTCATAGCAGTAACTGAGAGAGAGCTAGGAGTTTTACTGAGTGCTTTTCCCACAGCAATACAGTGAGGTAAGTGGTGCAAATATTCTCCCCATTTTACAGATGAGGGAACTTGAGCTTTAGCTGAGGCTTAATTTGTACATGCCTCACAGCCTCTCAATTATCTCTTAAAATTCTTCAGACTAAGTGAACCACCCCTTACTCTTTATCTAGAGATTCTGAGATGTTTGTCTTTGAGACTATCTGACTATATTGCTATATAGATGAGAATTGTTTATATTTTTTAATTTTTGTATGCCTAACTTAATAACTTGGTTGTTTCTAAAATATACCATGAGAGGTATTGTGGAGTAGTGGTTCGAGGTTTGACTTGGGAAACAGGAAGAGCTTAGTTCAAGTATTGCCTCTGATACGTACTGGCTGTGTAACCTTGGACAAGTCACTCACCTCTCAGTGCCCCTGGATAATCCCCTAAGACTATTAACTATGAACCAATTCCTAAACTGTATTTGTTGAAGGAGTTTCCACACTTATAGGTAGCTCTTCATACTGATGAAATAGTGTAAATAGACAAATTAATAATATAATACATGTATTATCCATTTTAGAAGACCAGATTTCTTCTTGGAATTTGTTTTATTCTTATAATGATGTTCTATTTGGCATATTTAAAGCAGGAGAAATATTTAGGGATTATAGTCAGAGAACCCATATTTGAATACTGATTATGTCTCCTTGTACAAGTCATGTCATTTCTCTAGCCTCATTTTCCAAATCTGTAAAATGAGGTGGTAGCCTAGGAGACCTCTATGATCCCTTTTCCATTTGAAACAGCTGTAAATTTAAGATCTTATTATCATCTGTTATTTTGTTTCTGTAGTCTGTTTCAAACATGCTCACCTCTCAGTAGTAGCCACTATCACCCTTTTAAGGGGCCACTTCCTTAAAATGTAGCAAAATAATCATTTGCCACAAATCTTTCATTGAGAATGGAAGTAAAAAGAAACACTCTTGCTAGTATGATCAAAGTGCATGTATATCCATTGTCCTGTTAGAGATTTTACTGAATATATAGTAATTGTACCTCAACCTCAAATGACCCAAGTGTTCAAGTTACCTACGTGCTTGTTTGCAGTCATCGTTTGGCTGGAAGCATTTAAAAAAAATCTTATCATGAGTTTCTGTTGGCTTTGAACTTAATGTTTCTGCATTTGAAGACAACGAGTCACTTGAGACTCTAGGGCATTTTTTTTGAAGTTTCAAATACATTTTTGCTTAAATTATCTAGTTGTGAAAAGATCTCCACTTATGTACTTTCAGAGTATATAGAGTTGGTTTAAATATGTAGCATTACTGAATAATATTTAAATTGAATTTTTTTTTACATATTCTTCAACCACATTTTTTCCCTTTGAAAGAAGTATAGATAGTGACATTGAAATGGAACTTTGTGGGGCAGCTAAATGGTACAGTGGCTAGGACACCAGCCCTGAAGAGGACCTGAGTTCAAATAAAGCCTCAGATACTTACTAACTGTGTGACCCTGAGCAAGTCACTTAACCCCATAGCCTTAAAGAAAAGAAATGGAGGGGTGTGTGTGTGTGTGTGTGTGTGTGTGTGTGTGTGTGTGTGTGTGTGTATGTCTGTGTGTGTGTGTGTCTGTGTGTCTGTGTATCCACGTGAAGGAATAATTTTCACTGTTGGGGGCTGGAAATGGTCAATTAACAGAAAGTGTGGAATGGCATTGCTGGAAGGGAATTTAGAGGTAATCTGTTTTAAATCCTTCATGTTGTAGATGAGTAAACTGAAGTGCAGAGATCACAGTATTATGGTTTTTTGAGCTAAAAAAAGAAAGACTTCAGAGATCATCTAGTTCCACCCCCCTCATTTATCTGTTTCAGTGTTTCCAAATGGCACTTACTTTATCCAAACTGTTCAATCACCTTCTTGAGACCCTTTTTCAGAAGAACTCAATGAGGAGGACTGTGCTAGGGTAAAATAATTTGCCTAAGATTGCACAGTTAAAAAGTGGAAGAGCCTTTGAAGGTAAATCAGATACTCTCTCACACTACACATATAATAATTTGCACAAAATCACAGTTGGTTGGAAGAGCAGGGATTAGAATTTGAATCTTCTTGGGTCTTCTGACTTCCTTCTTACTTCCTCCTTTCCTCCCCACTCCCAGCTTAGGCATCTTCCCATAATACTTTAACATAGCTTTAGGTTTCAAAACATCAACCTTAAAAAAAATAGAGAACGAGGTCAAGATAGAATGGTTAAGTCAGAAGGTTTGCTCACCATCCTTTTCATTATCTCCACACTCATAACACTTACCTAGTACCTCCCATAACAGGCTCCTCAGATGAATAGCCCACCTCTTTAAATGTAGGTGTATTTCCATTAGGGCCACAAGTCAGCTAATTTATGTAAATGTTCTTGGCTTGTAAATGTAACTGTGCAGTTAGTAAACTGCTTTCTTTGGAGGTGGGCAGGAAGACAATAGAAAAATGATGAGTAGGTCAGATGGGTTAGCTGTCAAGATTTGGAAGAAGAAATGTGTTATTAAAGAAATTGTGTAAAGTCAGACCATCTTGTGTTGCTCAGCTGCATCTAACACTTTGTGATCCCATTTGGGGTTTTCTTTACTGGAATGTCATTTCCTTCTCCAGCTCATTTGCAGATGAGGAAATTGAGGCAAGCAGGGTTAAGTGACTTGCCCAAGATCACACAGCTAGTAAGTGTCTGAGGCTAGATTTGAACTCAGGAAGGCAAGTCTTCCTGACTTCAGGCCTGGCAATCTATCTAATTTACTACCTAGCTGCCCTGAGCATCTCATAGTCATACGTAGTGGGGGTTGGAGGGTGGGGAAGGGTAGGTGAGTGGAAGGGAAACCAACCAAGTGGAGGAGCAACCAACTGAGGCCTTCCATTGCTTTAGGGGAAGTAGTTTTAGTTTGATCTCCAGAGCTGTAGCTGGAGAACTAGCCACCAAAGCCACCTTACTTCCTTTAGTTCCTGAAAATGAGAATTTGCCTGTCCTGGGGGGTGGTCTAAGGAAAATTAGAACAGAAGCCAAACCCAGGTGTTAGTTAAGTTGGACAAAGCTGAATTCTAGAACTATGAGATCAATCTGTAATTTGCCCACCTACATATGATTTTCCTGACACTCCCCTCAGAATAGCCAATTAAATCTTGAGCTCTTAATAGTTCAAGGTAAGGCTTGTATTCTTAATAGTTGATTGAGTTTGTGGTATTCTGATAACTCACAATGGAAGAGAAGTGCTAATAGCACACAGCTGTTGTCCCAAGGTGGAAATTTAAGGGAAAGGATCCTATTTAATTCCTTGAGTGGTGACAATAGATGAGACCTTTGATGAAAGTACAGAACCCTTTGTTTAAGCATACTGCTCATGTTTTTACATCTTGCCCTTACAATCTAATGCTATGGATTTCTCTCTTGATAGCTTTGATTAAATCTCACATTGGAAAGATGGTGATAAAGTTATTCACGCTAAAGTATTAATGACTGATAATTTAAAATGCTACCTCTGTGAGTGGCTTTTGTTTCTTGACATGAAGTAGGTCTTAGTCTCAAAGACCAAATTTATAATGTAATAGAAATGAGGCATCAGTGGTAGTTAAGAGAAAAAAAGATTTCTATGGAAAATTGAGAACAGGAAGAATTTTCCCCATGCCTTTCAAACTACAATATCACTTATGTGGCTATATAACTCAACATACAGGTAAGATGGATCCCAGTTATGCATTTGATTACAAAGTGTCTTCAGCAGATTTCCCTGGATGATATTTGCTATTTTATTACAACCTTTCCTTGCCCTAAACTAAATGTCTTTAGGACTCTGCTCACTTCCCTCTCTCCTGGGTTATTTATACCAGTCTCTTTCTCAAGTCATTCCCCTCTCTCATCTATCCCCTTCCACACAGAAGCCAAAATTATTTTCCTACATCACAAGTTTGACCATATCACTCTTCTAGTTAATAAACTCCAATAGCTCCCAATTACCTGCTGGATAAAATCCGAACTTCTCTTTTTGGCATTTCATGCCCATCACAATTTGGCTCCAGACTTATTAAATATTATTATCTCTCTCTTACTCCACATTCCAGCCAAACTCAATTACTCACTCTTTTTCATACATCGAAATTAGGTGGCACAGTGGATAGAGTGATTGATGGACCTGGAATCCAGGAAGTTGTGAGTTCAAATATGACTTCAGATACTTAACTGTTCGACCTTGGGCAAGTCACTTGAACCTTTAATTGTCTCAGTTTCCTTATCTGTAAAATGGGGATAATAATAGTACCTACCTCCCAGGGTTATTGTGGGGATCAAATGAAATAGTGATATTTGTAAGGCATTTTGCAAACCTTTAAGTGCTACTTAAATAGTAGCTGCTATAATTTATTATTATTATTGTTATTATTATTATTATTATTATTCCATTTCCTATCTCTGTGCCTTTGTATAAGCTAGCCCCCACTCATGAAATGCATTCCCTTCTCTTAGAATCTCTTGCCTTTTCATGGTTGGTTCAGTCCAAGTATCATTTCCTGCATGTAGTTTTTTCTGATTCACCCTCCTACTAGAGAGCTACCTCTCCCCCCGCCAAAAAAAACCACCTAGTACTTTTTAATGCAAATTGCATTTACTTACACGTGTACATTGAATTGAGTTGAATATAAATGTCTTGAAGGCAGGAACTCTTTGTTTTTATCTTTTATCCTCATTGCCTAGCCAATGTGGCTACTTAGTAGGTGCTTAACAAATGTGGTTAGGTGATCAGTTTGTATGACTGATTCAGTATTGGGACCTCATGGACCGAAAGATAAAAGGAAAATTTACGAATTCCAGTGAATGAGGTAGACTGAGTAGTTTCATGTCCTTTCATTCCAAAGTAAACTGTATCTTACTGCTAAACAGCTTTTTTTTTTTTTTAAACTTTCAGGGTGGAAAGAAGTACTCTAGTCCTTGTGGAGGACGTGACTGTTCAGTCTGCCAGTGTTTTGCTGAAAAAGGATCTCGGGTGAGTGATTGAACAGTTAGCTTGGATAAAGTTAGTGCTGTTTTGAAACATCAAAATTGATAACCAGATGATCCCCAATTCCTGGTCGCTTTGGGAAATATATAACTTCTAATAATGAGAGTTCTTCCTATCTTGAAGAGCATTTTACATTGTGATCAGAACTCTATACAGGCAGGCATGGCAGGCCAAATAATCTGGTCAATCACATTTCATATCTTCTAAGTCAACAAGCATGTTATTAAGTGGCTTGTCATAAAGGAATATAAATTCATATATATAATATATATATACACATGTATGTGTATATGTGTGTATATATATACATATATATGTATATATATACACATATAAATGGATTTTCCCCCTTTAGAGTCACAGTCCCTGCCCTATAAAGGGGAATATTTCAATAATCTTCCATGAATTTGATTTCTAGGAAATTTTAAAATATAGATCAAAGGCAATGCAAATATTGACTTCTATATTTTTCACATTATTCTGATCTGAAAAAAAAAGTTATCCAGGGCAAGTTGTAATGTATATGATTGTTTCATATCTGAGAACAAATCACGTGTTCTTAATCTAATTTCCAATGAAGAATAGCAATTAGAGAAAATGAAGGAAAGATTTCTGAAAAGAGAAAACTAGTTTCTTATTGTAAGGGGCCCAGACATAGACTTATTTCCATCACCCCTATTATATCTATTTCTGCCAGTGAAGAAGGAAGTTTGGAATATTGCTTCATGTAAAACCACACTAAAATTTTCAGTAAGGCCATAATGTTTTACATTTCACTCTATACTCTATACTATACCATCATCCACTCAGGCTGGGCACCCTCAGTTATTTTTCTAAAGGCTCCCTTGTTCATCCTAGACTTTGAAGATTCTGATTCAGAATACAAGTTGATGAGAGAAAAAGGAAAATGGGCAGAAATGGAGAGAAATATCTTGGAAAAAAATTCTGTTCTCTGCAGGTGCCTCTTCCCACCTTGCCCTTTTTTTTGTAACCTTCTTTTCATTATAAAGGCTTTTAAAAACTTAATGAATGTTGGTTTCTGAGACAAAACTCTGGAGTTCCATGGAGGTGGCTAATCTCCCTGTTGCTCTAACTTGGCTGGAACAATAAAAGGAAAAATATTCCACAGTCTTAAAGGAAGGTGTATTCTAAAAAGCTCTGGACAATTCTTCAAGTCAAATCTCAACTACTCTTTTGAAGTCTGACTTCCCTATGTCAGTCTTGGTGTGGAATGTACATGGCCACTTAAAAACTAAAATTCAGTAAAGATTAGTGGGTTAAAACTTGGGAAAAGACACCCTTAAAGAGAAGAACTGTGTCTTTTGTAACTTTGTACCCATAGTGTAGTAGGCACCGAGTAAGAATGAGGCTCATTATGGGTTAATTTGACTGTATCACAGCCCACTGGCTTGGCATGAGTGTTCCTTGACCTCTTTTCATTATTTACTCTCAAATCAGGCAGGCTGTTCTGAACTCAGATCAAGCTACTTTATGTGTGCAGTGGGAGGAGAACCAGACCCAAAAATACACAGAAGAGAGAGGAAAGAAGTTCAGAAGGCAACAAAGACAAAGCAAGGCAAGGTGGAACCAGGGTTCCCAGACCTAGCTCTATAACTTGCTAGTTTCCTGACCTGCAGCAAGCCAACCTCTTAAAGTTTGTTTCCTTATCAGCAAAATGGAGATCTTAATACTTGCTCATGGGATTTTTAGAAGGATTAAATGAAGTCACATCTGTAAAAAGCTCTTCAAAAACTGTAAAGTATAATAGAGTTGTAGTGTACTGAGGTCCTATTGTCTGGATGTGAGGTGAAGGAATCATACTCACTGCATCTTTGGGCTATAGACTGAGATTAGGAGTTAGCATGAATTAAAGCTCTAAGTGTAAGATTAAGGAGAGAATCACAAAATCACAGAACTACCAAATTTCACAGTAGGAAGGGATGGCAAGAGACATCTAGTCCCATTGGTGTCTGACAAAGGATTCCCTTTATAATAAATCTTGCATAAAACTGTCAAGTGGGGGTAAAGTCATTCCCTCCCCAGGGTGGCTCCTTTGACTTTTGGATAGTTCTAATTGTTCAAAGGACAGCTTAGGTGGGACAGTGAGTAGAGTGCTGGGCCTAAAGTCAGGAAAACTCATCTTCCTGAGTTCAAATCTGGCCTCAGACACTTACTGGCTGTGTGACCTTGGGCAAGTCACTTAAGCCTGTTTGCCTCAGTTTCCTCATCTATAAAATGAGCTGGAGAAGAAAATGGTAAACCACTCCAGTATCTTTGCCAAAAAAAACCCTAAATGGGGTCAACAATTGTTAGAAGGTTTTTTGCTTATGTCAAAAATAAATCTCCCTTTCTGCAGTACCAACCCATTTATTCTAGTTTTATCCTGTGGAGCCTAGGAAAATAAGTAATTTCTCTTTCACCTGATAGTGCTTCAAATACTTGAAGACAGCTGTTGTCTCCCTTATGTCTTCTCTTCCAGGCTAAATGTCCCCAGTTCCTTCAACCAGTTCTCACATGGCATGAATTTTAAATTCTTTCTGCTCCCTTCTATGTGTGTGTATTCAATGTTTCACTGATGATGAAATATTATCATCTTTTTTTTCTTTTTTCAGACTGCATCTCTTTTAACTCAGCCTAAGATAAGCAGGGATGTAGCTGGGCAAGGCTAGCATGGTTTAGTTGGTAAAGTCTTAAGTGCCTTAAAGTCATAGACCAGAGCTCAAGGCCTGCCAGAGTCAGGTCCTTTCCAATTCTGAGGTTCTGTGACAAATCGATTCACCAAATTAAATTCAACATTGGCATCTAATCTCTCAGTGCTCTAGGAAATTAACTGAGAGCTAGGGTGAGGATGATATACTCAGCTACCCATCACAGGCACAGTCCTTGTCCCTAAGATGATATTAGCTTTTTTTTTTTTTTTTGGCTGTCCTTTTTCACTCATTTTAAGCTCTAAGTTCACTAAACTCTCCTTCCATCCCCCACCCCCAGATTTTTTGGATAAATTACTGTCTAACCATATTGACCTTATCCTCTCTATCTAACAATGTTTTAACCTATGCTATCCCTATTCACTTTTATCTCATGAGATTTTACCTGCTGTTCTAGCTAAGCAAGATCTCTTTGAATCTTGATTTGGTCATCTGGTCTTAGTTCTGCTTCCAGGTGTGTGTTTTCCCTGCCTATATGACTAAAAGCTAACTTCTCAGCCTGGCATTTGAAACTCTCCACAATATATCTCCACCCTAATTTCTCTGTATTAGTCCACTTACTTTGTTTTGAATATGTCTTACCCATTTCCATGTCTGTGATTTTCTTTCAGACATTTTCTCCTGCATGAAATGCCCTTCCTCCTCTTTTCAACTCATCTGAGGCTCATCTTCTCTTCCTCTTTATGTCCAATGGCTTCCCTGGTCAATCAGTCAATAGACATTTATTAAGCACCTATTACTACATGCCAGGCACTGTGCTAAGCCCTGGGTATACAAAGAAAGGCAAAAGACTGTCCCTGCCCTTGAGAAGCTCACAGTCTAATGGCAGAGACAACTTGAAAATAACTATATGCAAACAAGCTATATGCAGGATAAACAGGAAATGAGCAAAAGTGGGAAGATACTAGAATTAAGACAGATTCAGTAAAGTTGCATTTTAGGTGGTCATCCTAGCCCCCAAATTCAAACAAACATGTTCTTAAAAAAAAAAGGTGCTAACTATATGTTAGTAAGAAGTAACCAGCTTTTCTGTGATAAAATTCTGGCCAAGCTGTCAAATATTTGTGAGAACCTATCTCTCTCTAGGTTCCTATAAACATTAGTGTCAGCTTCACTTATTTGGTACTTATCACCGACTACCTCTTGTCTCAGTCATGCTCTTATGTGTTCATGTCTTAATCTATCCAGTCAGACCATCTGCACCTTGGAGCCCTGGCTGACTTAGGCCTTATGTGCTATAGTATCCCTGTGGTGCTTTTTACAGGGTATTTACTCTATAAACATGATTTAATTCTTTGCTTTGATAATTGATTTTCTTGATCAACTATTAACAATTGACTACAATTAACAATTGACAACTACAATAAACAGCTAATAACAATTAACTAAGCCAGTTAGATAGCCAACAAGCAAACTCTTGAGTGAAGGCACAGGGACCATTAGTTGAGGATGAGATACTCAACTGCCCATTTCTTGCATCAGAAATTGATGCAAGCCTTCTCCCTTGTAATTCACATAGTAGTCTCATATATATCTTACTAAGGCACTTGGGTATTACAGTATTTGCAATTATCTGTGATTCTATTTAATTTCCCCACCAGCCTGTGAGCTCCAAGGGCAAACATTGTGTCTTATCTAGGCTTTGTTCCTCTTTACTGCCTGATATGATGCTCTGCACATAGTAGGTATTTAATTAGCAAAGAAATAATGAAGAAACAAAAGTATGACATTCAAAGGAGCTGTGTACATGCAGGAGTGTGGGGTGTCTAGATGGAAAGAGAACTGCTTTAAATCCTTTCTGTCCCTCCCTTGAGCTTTTTTTTTTTTTAAAGTAAATAATCTCAATTCAATGGGAAAATTGTTTTTTTTTTTTTGGCTGGGATTAATGCCTTGGTGAATAACTCATCCAGCCACAGAAACTGGACCTTTGAACTGAAGTCATATGTGTTCTACATATAGTTACTCAGGAGCTGTTACATAGGTTGGGTTATGGATTTTCACATCTCACTTTAGTGACAAGAGGGCTTTTCAGTCAAGGCAGAATGAGCAGACCTGTCTTCATCATCATAGTTACTCAACCAATGTTGAACTGATTTTGATGAATCCAGTTGTCACAGAAACTCAAAATTGAAAAGGACCTTAGAGGCAGTCTAGGAATCACTTCTAATAGTATTTCTAACAAATAGTCACCTGGCTACTTTTTTTTTTTTTTGAGACTAGATCCCCTTATCTTGCCTAGGCTGGATGGCCACTCATGGACCCAATCCCAAGGCTGAG